TGGCATCTGTGGACTGGACGTCTTGTTTCCGTAATAAAAATGTTGATACTAAAGTCTCGATATTCTATGACATTTTGTTTACAGGCATTAATTACTATATTCCAAAGAAAATTATTAAATCTGGGAGTTTTTATCCGATATGGTTTAACAGGGATCTTAAAAATTTGTGCTACCAGAAAAGACTCGCTCTTTTTTAATATAAATTGTCTGGCAAATTAGTAGATTATCTTAACTTCAAGTCGATTCGATCTAGCTGCAAGACCCTTAATGAAAATTTAAATTTTTCGTACATTGCCCAAGTTAATGTTAGTGTTACATCTAACCCAAATTATTTTAGGAAATATATTCGTAATAAGAACAAGGATAATGGGATTCCTAATTACATGTCATTTAAAGATAAGAAAGCGGACAATGGAGCAGATATTTCCAATCTGTTTGCGGAATATTTTTCTACAGTCTATGTTACTGATCCCACAACAAATTTACAAAATAATAATTCACCTAATTTAAAAGTCTTTGATAGTGGATTAAAGGTAACATTATTGGATGTTTTTCAAAATATTAGCATCTTAAATCTTCTTATTCCTGTGGCCCCGACGGTGTTCCAAGTATGCTTATAAAAAAATGCATTTGTACTTTGGCTGTTCCACTGTTCCTATTGTTTGAATCATCCCTTATGGAATCCAAAGTTCCTGATGTTTGGAAGTGTAGTTATGTGTCTCCGATTTTTAAATCGGGAGCACGAACCAAAGTAGAAAACTATAGAGGGGTTAGTAACCAATCAGTAATCCCCAAAATTTTAGATTATATTATTGCGAAACAACTACAGTGGTCTTCTTCTTCGATTTTAGCTACTCATCAACATGGGTTTTGTAAAGGTAAATCTTCTCTTACAAACTTATTGTCTTACTACGTGTTTCTTAATGATTCATTTCAAGTAAGGTCTCAAGTGGATTCCATTTACACTGACTTCGCAAAAGCCTTTGATAGGGTCAGTCATCACATTCGGATCTCTAAATTGAGTCAACTAGGGTTTAACGGTTCCACTGTAGATTGGTTGTTTTCGTTTTTATCGGGCAGATGTCAACAGGTTAGAATTGGCAATTTTATATCCCGCAGTTTCGAAGTTACTTTTGGTGTACCTCAGGGATCACACTGTGGTCCAATATTATTTTTGCTGTTTGTCAATGATCTACAATTTTGTTTCAAATATTCTAATTTTTTACTTTACGCCGATGACTTGAAAATTTTTAAACTTATTAAATCTCCTCAGGATGCGTTGGAATTACAATCTGATTTAAATAGCTTATATAACTGGTGTGATCGGAATCAATTGTTTTTAAATACTGATAAATGTTATGTTATAACATTCTGTAAAGTAAAAAAATTATACCAACATACCTATAAAATAAATGACAGTGTCTTGAAGGTAGTAAATGAAATAAAAGACCTCGGTGTGGTGTTTGATTCAAAATTGTCTTTTAAATCTCATTACGATTATATTTTCAAAAAGTCAATGAACATGTTGGGTTTTGTATGGCGTCACTGTCACATGTTATCTACGTTCTCTTTAAAGACACTTTACTGTTACCTCGTACGTTCGCATTTGGAATATTGTTCACCAATATGGTTTCCCTTTTATAAGACGGATAATGATTATTTGGAAAGAATTCAAAAGAAGTTTCTTAGATGTTTGGAGTTCCGAATGCATTGGCCCCACCATAAAGGCCAGTACGAGATCATCACCAATTTCATAAACCTGCCTTCTTTGCATACAAGGAGGATACTGTCGGATGGTTGCCTTTTACATGGTGTCATAAATGCTCATATTGTTAGCCCTGAAATATTATCACAATTGGATTTCTATGTTCCCGATCCTTCGGTTTGTAACACACGCAGTGTAAACAGTTTTAGAGTCCATTCTTCGTTAAAAACAAATTTTGCTTTTAATAATCCAATCAATAGACTAATGGAACTTGGAAACAAATTTGCATTCATAGAAAAGTTTGATCTTTTCCAGAATTCAAAACATATATTCAGACGTGAATTCCTTTCTATTCTTAACAATAATTGCCGTTAATTTTGCTCATGAGTTATGTTTAAGTTAGTGTTAGGTTAGATATAAGTTAGATATAAGTACTTATATGTTTCAGTCTTTTGTACATTTATTTAGTTTATTTGTGTAAATTGGACTAATCCGTAACGCGATTAATAATAATAATAATAATAAATGAGGACCCGAATGGGTGTGTAGGGTTCGTGTCTGCCTGCTACACCTTGGATCGCGGGTTCGATTCCCGCCTTAGCTCTGGGTATATGTCCGGTTTTCTGTAATTGGGCCTCGGCCTGTTGAAAACTAATAAAATAAGTCATTTCTCCAATTTCTAACTTCATGTAACGGGTGATGAAAAAGTTTTCAGATTAAAGTTGGCCATGGAAATATATGTCATGTCTTTGATTACAATGCAAATTATTGAAATACAAATGAGGTTGTGCCTGACATTTACAGATTAATCAAAGACATGACAAACATTTCCATGGCCAACTCTAATAATCTGAAAACTTTTTGATCACCCGTTACCTACCTTATTTTGATTATTCACACTTTATGTATTCACGTTTTCCATTTTTACTTAAGTAGAAATAACTTATGATTAAGAATTTATGACAAAGATGTTTATGGAATGTATCTACATGGCATGTAACAATAAATTTATGAATTGCATATTTTCCTCACAAGTAACTAGCTGACCCGGCGAACTTCGTACCGCCTTAGAATTAATAAATGATTCGCATATCATTGTTGCACTACTTTCTTTATCTGTTATCGCAGCGTTGAAATATCGTTCGTGTGTTTCAGCGGGTCGTTTATCTAAGTACTCTGATCACGACTTTATAGTCATCGCTTGGCATGTGATCCAACGCAGTTTTGAACAACCGAATCAATACAGGATGTTTATAAAGTGGCAAGAGCATCCAATTTTAATAGATTCGCGAACAAGCCATATGAGCAATTACGTCGGAAAATTTGGATAAACAGCGGACGTAGAAGATAGGAACCCAGACCTGTTTTAATTTAGTTTGTTAAATTCACTTTCGAAAAGTTTCAGAAAATATCTTTCAAGGTTATAAATATAGTCATTTTGAGTACTAATAGGTTATATTTGTTGTCAATGTAGTACTTCTGGCAAGAAGCCATGGTTGTCGTTGAAAAACCACCGAATCTGTAGTGAAAACTGTTGCAGGTGGAATATTGAAAGTAGCCCATTATGTAACCCCACAATATTTCCAGAGGTACGTAATAATTATGAATACAATTGTGTGTGTTAGGAATATCAAAGCTTTGAACGTTCGAAAGCCAAACCGCACCGAGAAAGAAGCAAATATCAAAGTGAGGGTCCTCCAACACAATTGTGAAGACAACAGCGTCATCAAAACTGATTGTATTCCTGTTGCTGATGTTGAGCTGCCGTTAGAATAAGATTTCATATTTATATACCCTGCCCCGCAAAATTAACGCAAAATTTAAAAATTTTATTTTGCACAAGTGGAAATCGTACGTATGAACTGGCCTACACTACACGAAGTCCGGACCTCAGTCCCATCGAGCATTTATGAGACATAGAGGGAAAAAGAATTAAAGCATTACAGCACCCTCCTACTATCATTCCAGAGGTAAGAAGAAGTTAGAAATTTGATTAACAGTATGCGAGCTGTTATCAGTGCTCGAAGAGGCAATACACGTTATTAAGTCTTTTAAAGCATTATCAAATGAGATGTTATTTTTTGGTTTCTCGCAATTGGGTTGCAAATCATTATTAGTTTGTTGTTTTTGTCGATTTTTGTTTTAGAATTCCTATATTTGATTTAATTATTACGAATTAGGGACCAAAGTAGAAAAAATAACAAGATTATCTAAAAAAAAAAAAAAATTTTAAAATTTTGCGTTAATTTTGCGGGGCAGTGTATTACATTTATCAGTCAGTTTACGTTTGAGTGCATATTTACCAGAGATTCTAATGACATTGTTGTTCAAGCAAATATTGAATGCAATGTTATGTATGAAAGAGACTAGAAGTAAAATGGTGGGAAACTCTCTTTTCTGTTAAAAATACTGAAGAAACCATTTGTCTTTGTGGAACTATTTTAGCAATCTTTAATTTATTGTTAGTACACTTAATTGATGAACATGAGAATAATAATATAAATATGGAAAATATTTAAGTCCACAACATGGTGTGATTTCCATAACCTCAAACCTTTACTTTCATTTCGGCGATTGTAATGTTTATATTGTATTGCTGGAACCCGAACTTAATTACTACGTCCATTTGTATTCACAAATATTGCATTTTGTATCAGTAATAAGTTAATAACCGATTTAATAGCGTTAAACCACGAACTAAGTTTCGGTGTTGAAATGAACGTTATTGTTCTAAGAAGAGTATGTGGTTTAGCAGGTCGTTTCAGATTTCACCGGGATTAATTTATGTCAACAGTTCATAGTGCGTCACTGTAAGTTTACCTTCTTTGTACATTGAGGCGTATCACAACTTATTCACACTTTATAAAATTGTGGACCAATATGATCCTACCCTGGGATGTGGTCCAATCCATTAGAGGATGTATAATATTTGTACTTAAAACCGCAATAACACTTGAACAAAATGATAAATAAACAACAAAAACAATGTTCTAAAATGACAATTGTATAAAACAAACGGAATGAACACCAAATTAGTATTTAATCAATATGTGTACTTCAATAGAATATGATTCGAATAATTTTTACATTGAGTAAAATTTGCTAGACACCTGCAAACATTTCACTTTAAATACGAGTATACAATGTTTGTTTAATGTGTCCATATATTTCACATAATTCAAAATTATCTCAAAAATATCTTCTTTTTTATTATCTCAAGTATATCTTGTCTAGAGTTTGTAAGGTTGTGTATACTATTTTCCGATAAATTCCTTTTCAGTCTCAGAGTAAAAAGTTTGCAAACAGTAGGAATTTTTTAGGTTAGCAACCGTTTGATTAATATTACCCCGTTAAATTACGTTCCAAATAAATCAACTTCATATTATGGACGACTTGGTAATTGGCATTGATCTGGGTACAACAAATTCCTGTGTTTCGTTATATACAGAAGGAAAAACAAAAATTCTAGAAAACGCATTCGACGGAAGAATCACACCTTCCTTCATTTATTTTTCGCCTGATGGAGAAATCGTCATCGGAGAACATGGTGTAAAAATGTCAGTTCATAAACCAGAAAATGGAATTTATGGTAAAATAATAAATTGTCCTGATCTCTAAATATCTAAAGAAAAATTTTCAGAAATGAAACGACTCGTGGGACGACAGTTTGACGACCCAGAACTCCAGAAGAGCTTGAAATATTTTCCTTTCAAAGTAACAGCGAGCCCTTCAAACCTTCCGCTGGTTTCTGTTAAACAAAAATCGGCCATATGCAAGAAATCTCCTCAAGAATTATACACAGTACTACTGAAAGCGCTAAAGAAGTATACCGAAGCAAAACTCGAAGAAACTATCAACAAGGCAGTAATAACCGTTCCTGCCTATTTCAACGTTGCCCAAAAAGAAGTAACTTTGGAGGCGGCAAAAGACGCCGGATTTACGGTCTTGAAACTACTAAACGAACCTACTGCTGCCGCTTTGGTTTACTATTTTGAGAATGACACCGATAAAACTCATCGTTCTTTAGTATACGATTTAGGAGGTGGTACTTTTGATGTTGCAGTTTTAGAGAAACGTTTCGAAAACATACAAGTGCTTTGCGTAGCCGGAGACACCCAATTAGGAGGACATGACATTGACACTTGTCTTTTGAATTACGTTTACCGAATACTTCGAACCCAGTATGGTTACGACCCGGAGGCAAGTTCCGACGATAAAAGACGGTTACGCCTCAAATGCGAAGATGCAAAAAAAGAACTATCGACAGTTGAGAGTACCGTCATCACGATCAACGGAATGGTTTCGAAACATCCGAAAATCAAAATAAGTCTGACGAAAGACGAGTTCGAAGCGATGACAGACCACTTATTTAAAAAAACGATAGATATTCTTGACGAATGTTTGAGAAGTTCGAAAATTTCGAAGCGATCGATTCAAGAAATTATTTTGTGTGGTGGTTCGACCAGAATACCGAAAATACAGAAACTTGTTTCTGATTATTTCGACGGAAAACAATTGAACAAGTTCGTCAATACAAGTGAATGTGTGGCCGAAGGAGCAGCTTTACAAGCGGCCATGTTGTCGACGAATCGGAAGCAAAAAATCGATGAACTTCGGATTGTTAATGTCCTTCCTCTTTCCATAGGCACTTGGGGACACAGCTTGTGTCATGACATGTCGTTCTTAATCAAGAGAGGCACGAAGTTACCAACGAGCGTAACCCATGTTTTCGTAAACACAGAAACTGATGAAACTACTTTTACATTTGACATATATGAAGGAGAACGTTTAGATCTTAGAAAAAACCGTTATTTAGGCACTGTCTTACTAACTGATGTAGAATCAGCCGCACCTTTTCAGAAAAAATAACTCTTTCTTTGCTCATCGACCAAAATGGCATATTGACTGTCAAAGCCTCAGAAACAAACGGGAATAATAATTCAAAGACGGTAAAAGTGAATTATACCCCCGGAGCCAAAAGTGATCGGGAGATTCAAAATTCTCTGCTCGACGCTGCAGCAAATCAGGAAAATGATGAAAAATTTATACGTTTTGTTCCGTACAAGATATATTTAATTGAATACTGTGTAGGAGTGATGTACAACTTGGATGATAAAAAGTTAACAGATAGATACATGGAATTATACAACTTTTGTAAAAGAGTTAAGAAAAAGGCTGAAACTTTAGAAATGAATGATGAAGGTCGCACGAAAGAAATTATTGCCGATTGTAAACGACGATGTAAAACCATAGTAAAAACGCATCATTTTCGTTATATGCCTAGAGACTGTGGTCTTTGAAAAATGTGGTAATTTGTATTTCATATACACTTATAAGCGAAAAAAATCACATTGAGGTATTTAAAATATTAGAAAATTTGTGCCTTTGTTGATATTTAATAAAAGAAAATATATACATCAAACTTTTGCTTTATATTCATACACAACCAAAAAGCACGAAGATTTTATCCGGTTGGTTTTATTATTTGCGTCTGGACTGGTTATGATTAGTTGCTTATCTCTGCCACGCTGTACAGAAATACCATTTCATAACCTACCTAACTGAAACTTCCTAAATGGGGATTACTGCAATGCCAACTCTATAACAAATAGGTAAACATTTTTAGACGGCATGAGGGTCCGAATAAATAATTTTAACTAGTTCACAACTAAATCGTTATACTAATTGGACGACCTTATCGTCCTCAAAATGGGTTTCTCCAAACACTTCATCAAAAATAAACCAGATAATAGCTTTTACTGCTATCGGAAGATTGGAGTGGTTGACATCGAGTATTTATTAAGATGAGATATTTTTTAAGCATTCAATAAGTGTTGTTTTTTTGAACAAATAATTGTTCTTAAAGACAGGTACCTATCATGTGTAATTAGAATATCTGCGATCCTGGATTTTTATTAGACAGATAATCTCCGAAAGTACTGGGCCGATTGTCAAATTTTGTACTTATGTTAGGTATATCATGTAGATGGTAAAACGCTAACCAAACCTTGTCTAATCATCCCCACCACTAATGTGATGACGTCACTTCAAAATTGTACATAGTAAATGGGTTTTAAATTGTATCAAATAACATAGTCTTACACATGTAGTTTATGACTCCGAATTGAGATTTTACTTGAAACGTCCAGATTTTTGGAAAATCAAAATTAGAAAACAACATTTCGACATGTAATTTGGAATCTACAAAACCGAATGCTTGGAGATGTTTTAAAGTTATCATAGGCATGGTAAATTTTTTATCAAAATATGTATATTTGCTCATCCTCCCCTAAAAAATTGATCACGTCACCTCAAAATTTTTCCTAAACAAAAAATTTTAAATATGCATTGTGCAGAGTATGTCTATGATTATGATCACTGTATAAATATTTTTTAGATTTGCTTATACGGGGTGTGTGAAAAAAATTATTGACTGAGTCAATTTATTTTATTGATTAAATCAAGAATTGCAAAATTGGATACTTCGAAATTTTGACGTTTTGAAGTTATTGTAAGCAGGGTAACTTTTTAATGAACATGTATCGGTTTGTCAACCTCAAAAAATTGATTACGGCCTCTCAAAATTTTGCCGAACATATTCTTTCGCAAATGTGAAAAATATGAACAGACTGTTAATCATTGCATTCATTTTTTTTTTTTGCTTAAACAGATGATTCAAAAAAAGTAGTGAATCAGTCAATTTATTATTCATCTAATCAAGAAGAAGCCACCCCATTTTCTGGAAAATCTGAGAATACGCTCGTCTTTATAACAATAAAATAATGATAAGGTGGGAATTATAATAATAACATTGCGAAGTTCAATGGAGGCCTGTGAATAATTTTGGTCATGTGTTTTGGGGCGATAAACTCATTCAAATAAAACAAATGTCTACGTGACATTCTTCCGATGAAATGTATTCCCGTTGATAATGTGCAGTAAATAAATTTTTTGCACTCATAATTTTTCTTGATGACCTTGGCGCATTCAACAGCATGCGGGACGTCGAACATCACCCACAGATGCGTTCTGCTAGGCTTTACCACGGTAGCCTAGCCCGGAAACGTAAAATTGCGAAGTGTTTAGGACGTCGTTGTTTATAAATAAAGCTGGGCGGTCGAAATTTATTCATCCTATTGTGGTGACCGAATTTAAATCAAAGTTTTCGCGCTGAGATTAATTAACAGCGGCGCGAAATCACACTTGAATAATTTGAATTTGAGAAAAAAAATTCAATCACAAAAAGAAAATCGTTAAACATAGGCAATCTGGTACACGGAGATGCATGGCTTAGATCATTCTGAATGTGCTTGTGTGAGTGTAAACACGTGGTAAGCGCTAGGTTTAAATTAGTTGGTTTGGTAGTTAATAAAACGGGAGGAAGCCTTTATTTAACGACAATCAAACGTATTTTTCATAATCATACAGTTGTCCCCAACCCGCGCGGTTAATTCTTGTGGCCTTTTAATCGAAAATGCGGACTTCCGGTCAGCAGGAAACACGTGTTGTAAATTTGTTCTATTGTCTGTAAATTCACCAATCAAGTTAGTTTTTCTTAATAGTCAGCTAGTGCAAACACAATTTAACAATCAGGATTATTTAAATAAACCACTTGCTAGAAGATTTCATGAAATTCACTTAGTCAGGAAAACACCGTTGTTGTTTAATTACGAATAGGTTTCTGGATGCATATACGTAAGTATTACATTATAACACTTCTAAATTCTTCACACAAGATTGCTAATAGTTCATTTACGGCAGTTAAACACGTTCATTATACTGTGAACTGGGGGAAGGGGTTTAAAATGTTCTCTTCCCTTAGGCGCTTATCATCGTTATCATAATTAATTCATTGGGGCATGCCTCACAATGCCACAGAATGATTAATTCATCGAGGCATGCCCTCGCAACGCTACTGATTGATTAATTTATCAAGGCATGCCCTCCCTACGCTAGAGATTAATAACATCACCGAGACGCTTTTTCCTCGCAACGATTTTAAAATTTACATCACCGAGACGCTTTTTCCTCGCAACGATTCCAAAATTTACATCACCGAGACGCTTTTTCCCTCGGAGCGATGATTGGATATTTTTGTGTTTGTTTATTATGTGTTTTGTTGGGGTAACCAGTTCGCGGTATTTTAAACTCTCAAACTAAATTATTTTTGAAGTAACCAATCATTTAGATCATGATATAATTTGGCATAATGTAAACTCTTTGTTTGAACCGTTGATAAAGTGTGGCAAATATTAATCTCATGTAAATTTCGTTGACTCTGCAAATTTTCACCTCCCACAATATTTCTTTAATTTCACAATTTTAAGCTCAGTAATTTTCCTTTGTTGTATAATTTTAATTGAACGTAAATTTCATGTTCTACAGTTTTAACCTCACAGAATATTTGTATTTGTACAAGTTCATTTCACACCAGATCTCTTGTTTCATAATTCCTTGCTAAGTTTTGTTTTGTAAATATTTTGTTGATGAATGTTTCTATCATATAAATTGTTTGATGTCCAACTTTAATCTCACGTAAGAATTATTTGTTGTTTAAAATTTCACAAGGTTGTATGGCGAATCTAAATGTTGTTTATTGCTCGTTAAAACTTTAACACTTGTTCAGTTGTTGTTAATATCAGAGTTATAAGAGATTGAATATTTAAAAATGGAATTGAGATTAAATGACCCAGAAAACGTGGCAGAAGCGAAGTTCGGTTCCTAGTCGAGCTGGCGAGATTTATCGTGTCACCTGTACAAGTCCACAGGTTTGGATAGATTCAGGGGCGGCCGCCGATGTTGTAAAGTTCTCGGCTTCGTCCTAGCCTAGATCCCCTTGCGGGTCGGACGACCGTAATGGCCTAGTTCCGCAGGGCACGTTCGTAATGGAGATATACGTGTGGGGTAGGCTTTGTGATATATAGAATCACCGTCGTGGGGGGAGAACAGTCCCAGACCTGTAGCCCAAACTCCGTTCCTGGTACAACGTTCTGGGAGTACTTTTGTTGTGCTCCTGTTAACTGCCGTAACTAAAAAAAAAAAGATCTGCCACCACACGCCCGTAATAACTTGTGTATTTGCATCCAGTTACTTAAGTCGGATTTTGCTTTGTTTTATTAAATTTGTGATATTCAAATATTTGCATTGATTCCAAACAGATGTATAGAATTTTGCGTTTGTTCGTTTTCAATATGTGTATGTCTGTCAGTTCGCGAGTGTCCCTTTCGTCATATATATTAAGATGTTTGAAATGTAATATGTCCGGGAATAAAACAAAATGGGGTTTTTGCGCTGAGGAGTAAATCTTCGCAGCGTCTTTCCTCCGGTGAGGGGGTGCCGTGCTCCCCCCTCCAAAACAATTTTGTCTATTATTTCTTGCGCTCTCGACAGTATATGCTCACCTGTATGAAAGAACGTCTTCCCGCCATTTAAAAAAAAAAAACACACATATGTTCCTATTTGTTAGACGATCACAGCCAAGACCAAACTTTGAATTTTTAAATTTTTCGCGGGCCTCTCAAACTTTTTCAAGGTCAATTTAGAGGCGGGAAGTTTGGGTTATTACACTATCTACCCGTCTGAAGTGCGGCCGGTGCATCCTTGCCTTACTGGCTTCTCGCTTTCCAATTATTTTACAATTACAATTACAAAATGTACGTGGCGTTGATTTTGTTGTCAAAGAGATTCTATGTTTATTGCAAACACGGCGTCTATTCACGGTGTCAACACGTATATTTTCGACCGCGGAAATGAATGAGGAAAATTGTGAAATTCCAAAAACCATTGTGAAGAAAGCGCAAAAAGCCAATGAAAATGTGTTACCTGGAACATCAGGATCCATATATGAAAAAGAATACAAAAATTTTCTTAATTGGAAGATTAAGAAGTGGCTTACTTCCAAGAATTGGTGAGTTATTCTGTTTATAAAATAATTATTTAACTGTGTTCTTCATTTTTAGTCAGAAAAATATTCACCCAGTTCCTTAGGGTGAAAATATTCTATGGTCAAGACAACTTGAAGAGTAAACGACAACATAGACATTTCTAATTATTATCATCGTTTGACATATTTCTATAAAAAACCCAAAAGGTTATGTGGCAAAAAAATCCCGAGTTTTGACTGGCGAACAAGTCATGCAATTTCTAAAAGATGCTTCCGACAACAGATATTTACTTCAGAAGGTAAACTAAGTTAATTTTTGATGATTGTAATTAATTTAAATACGAATGTTTTATGCAGTAAAGGTAGTTGGAGAATGAGTGAACACAATTCTAGATTTTTATATAATACTTTATTCGGTGCTAGCAGAATGGAAGCAGAGGGAGAAATAATTCCAATAGAGGCACCTCCGAAAAGTTTAAGTTTACCTGAATAGTTTGGTATGAATAGCAAGTTTGTAAATTGTAATTTGTATCTTCGTTATTAAATAAATTGTCAAAAAATAAATAAGTAGTTAAAAATAAACAATACATTTTTTTAATTTTTGTTTAATTCGGTTTAGCAAAATAGGGCATAATGAGAGGGCATAATAACTCTTTATGGCCGCTCATTGTGCCCCGGATATAAGATGCCGCTTTACGTTTATCAAATCATGGATATAAAACAAACATTATATACGAGTGAAAAATAAAAATTATTTATTTCCTTTTATTGCATAGATGATTTTTTAAAATTTTAATATCATATGTAGAATAAGTTTTTAAAATTCATTCGGCCTCTTATGCTTAAAAATGTGTATAGTCTTTGACATTTCTATTGAAACACCACTTGTTGATCGTAAATTTGGCAGCGTTCATATTCAGACAATTTTCTAACTAAAAGGCGTTGTCAATCAACCGAAAACTGTTAGCAATTGCTAAATTTTAGGCAAAATCAACAGGTGTTGTTGCAGTAGAAATGGCAAAGACTATTATTGGAATGTCAGCTCTATTTGTCATAGAGTTGACATTCCAATAATCTCCATTTAGGCCGATTCTTGTGTTTCGCGCTGAATAGTCTACAGCTGGTAGGTAAACGAATTGGTATTTCTCAACAGCGTGGTAGAGCTAAGCGCTTAATCACAGCCAATCCAGACGCGAATAATAAAAACAACCGTGACAAAGTGCTCGTAATTTTTGGTTGTGTATAAATATAAATTGAAACTTTGATGTATTTTTTTTTATTAAATATCAATAAAGGCACAAATTTTCAATATTTTAAATATGTTTAAGGGATTTTTTTGGTTCGTTCATAAGTGTTTACAAAATCCAAATTACAAGATTTTTAAAAAACCAAAGTCTCTGGGCATATAACTAAAATCATACATTGTTACTATGGATTCACATCGTCGTTCACATTCGGCTATCATTTCTTTCGTGCGAACTTCGTCATTCATTTCTAAAGTTTCAGCCATCTTCTTAGTTACTTTACAAAAGTTATATAATTCTTTGTATCTATCTGTTAACATTTTTTCATCCAAGTTGCACGTTACTCCTACACAATATTGAATTAAATATCTCTTGTACCGAACAAAACGTATAAATTTTTCATCATTTTTTTGGTTTTCTGCAGCGTCGAGCAGAGAATTTTGAATCTCCCGATCACTTCTGTCTCCGCGGGTATAATTCACTTTTACCGTCTTTGAATTATTCCGGAATGTTTCTGAGGCTTCGATCGTCAGTATACCATTTTGGTCGATGAGCAAAGTAAGAGTGACTTTTTTCTGATAAGGTGGGGCCGATTCTATATCACTTAGTAACACTTCGCCTAAGTAGCGATTTTTTCTAATATCTAAACGTTCTCCTTCATATATGTCAAATGTAAAAGTGGTTTCATCAGTTTCTGTGTTTACGAAATCACGGGTTACACTCGTAGGTAGCTTCGTACCTCTCTTGATTAAAAACGACATGTCATGACACAAGCTGTGGTCCGAAGTGCCTATGGAAAGAGGAAGGACATCAACCATCCGAAGTTCATCGATTTTTTGCTTTTCACTCATCGAAAACATGGCCGCTTGTAAGGCGGCTCCTTCAGCCACACATTCATCCGGATGTACAAACTTGTTCAATTCTTTTCCATCGAAATAATCAGAAACAAGTTTCTGTATTTTCGGTATTCTGGTCGAGCCGCCACACAAAATAATTTCTTGAATTGATCCTTTCGAAATTTTCGAACTTTGTAAACATTTGTCAAGAATAACTATCGTTTTTTTAAATAAGTGGTCCGCCATCGCTTCGAACTCACCTTTTGTCAGACTTATTTTGATTTTTGGATGTTTCGAGACCATTCCGTTGATGCCGATGACGGTATTCTCAACAGTTGATAGATCTTTTTTCGCGTTTTCGCATTTGTTGCGTAATATTCTTTTGTCGTCGGGATCAGCTTCGGGGTCGTAGCCATATTGGGATCGAAGTACACGATAAACGTAGTTCAAAAGACAAGTGTCAATGTCATGTCCTCCTAACTGAGTATCTCCAGCTACGCAAATCACTTCTATCTTTTCGAAACGCTTCTCTAAAACTGCAACATCAAAAGTGCCACCTCCTAAATCGTATACCAAAGAACGATGAGTTTCTTCGATGTCATTCTCAGAATAGTAAGCCAAAGCGGCAGCAGTAGGTTCATTTAATAGTTTTAGGACTGTAAATCCGGCGTCTTTTGCCGCCTCCAAAGTGGTTTCTCTTTGGGCAACGTTGAAATAAGCAGGGACAGTTATCACCGCTTTGTTGACAGTCTGTTTGAGTTTTTCTTCAGTATATTTTTTTAGCGCTTTCAGTAGTACTGTGTATAATTCTTGAGGAGATTTTTTCAATATAACCGATTTTTGTTTAACAGAAACCAGCGGAAAGTTTGAAGAGCTCGCTGTTACTTTGAAAGGAAAATACTTCAAACTCTCTTGCAGTTGTGGGTCGTCAAACTGTCGTCCCACCAACCGCTTCATTTCTGAAAACTTGTCTTTAGATATTTAGGGAGCAGAAAAATTTTTACGTTACCATAAATTCCATTTTCTGGTTTATGAACAGACATGTTTTTACCATGTTCTCCGATGACGATTTCTCCATCAGGCGTGAAGTAAATGAAGGAAGGTGTGATTCTTCCGCCTATTTCGTTTTCTAGAATTTTTGTTCTACCTTTTGTATATAACGAAACACAGGAATTTGTGGTACCCAGATCAATGCCAATTACCAAGTCGTCCATAATATGAGGTTGATTTAGTTTGAATGTAATTCAAACGGGCAAATTTTAATGAAACTGTTGCTAACCTAAAAAATTCCTACTGTTTGCAAACTTTTTACTCTGAGACTGAAAAGGAACTTATTGCAAAACAATATACACAACCTACTATAGATAAGATATACTTGAGATAATAGAAAATAAGGTATTTTTGAGATAATTTTGAATTATGTGAAATATATGAACATAATAAACAAGCGTTGTATGCTCATATTTCAAATGAAATCTTGGCAATTTATTACGTGTTTACGATGAACAACTTTATCTCAATGTAAAGGTACACATATTGTTTAAGGTGTATTCTGTTGTTCGTTCCGTTTGTTTTAAACAATTATTATTTTAGAACATTGTTTTTACTTCCCGAGCGTAAGCAAAGGAAGTATTGTAATCGAGTCCGTCGGCCGACTCTCTACTTTTACGTTTTCTCGATCTTTCATGACCCCTAGAAGACGAAGAAATAGGTCTCCCATTTCCGTCTGTCTGTCCGTCTGTTCGTCTGTCTGCTGTCGTGGATTTTTATTAGACTGATAATCTTCGAAAGTACTGGACCGATTGTTGTGAAATTTTGTACTTATATTAGGAATATCATGTAGATGGTAAGACGCTAACCAAAATTTGTCTAATCATCCCCACCACTAATACGATGACGTCACTTCAAAATTGTACATGGTAAATGGGTTTTAAATTGTATAAAATAACATAGTCCTACACATGTAGTTTACGACTCCGAATTGAGTCTTTACCCGAAACGTCCAGATTTTTGGAAAAAAAAATCAAAATTATAAAACAACATTCTGCAATTTAATTTTGAATCTGCTAACCCGAATGCTTTGAAATGTTGCAGATATTTTAAGGCTATAAAGAGCATCATAAATCTTTAGTCAAACTGTATTTGGTTATCCCCTCCAAAAACTTGATGACGTCAGCTCAAAAGTTTGCCGAATAAAACCGATCTAAAATTTACAAAATATGATGAGTCTGTACTTGTGATCTATCACTCCATTCATATTTTTTGGATTTGCATATACAAGGTGTCTCAAAAAAATTAATGAATGCGTAAGTTTACTTTACTGATTTATTCAGGAACTACAAAACCGAATGCTTTGAAATCTTGAAGATGTTTTAAAATTATCACAAGCATGGTAAATTTTTGATCAAAGTGTATTTGGTCGTCCCCCCTAAAAAAATTATGACGTCACCACAAAATTTTGCCGAATAAATCATATCTAAAATGTACAAAATATGATGAGCCTGTACTTGTCATTTATCACTCCATTCATATTTTTTGGATTTGCATATACAGAGTGACTCAAAAAAATTAATGAATGCGTAAATATATTTTATTGATTTAATCAGGAACTACAAAACGGAATGCTCTGACATCTTGCAGATGTTTTAAGGTTATAAAGAGCATAATAAATATTTAGTCAAAATATATTTGCTTATCCCCTCCAAAAACTTGATGACGTCAGCTCGAAAATTTGTCGAATAAATCCTATCTAGAATATACAAAATATGATGAGTCTGTACTTGTAATTCTATTGTATTTTTGAATTTGTTAATTTTTAATGTGAGCTTCAGTTCGTAGTGAGAATGATTTAAATACAGTAATCAAAATTATATGAAGTACAAAAAATGTTGAAATCATAAAATTCTACCGGATTGGAAAAAAAAATCCGAGTTGTACTTTCAGTGGCTAATCACACCTACACTATAATTATAAACTATAAATTAACAAATAACGTTTATGTTAATACAGATCTCATTCGACAATAACAGCATAATGCCTTATGAATCGTAAGGAGTTAAAAACTCGTACTAGTAGTGGCGAAATTAACTTAAAATTAAAATATTTCAATGGCATGCCAAAAATTGTTACTCCAAAAAACCATCAGGTACCCAACACATAATAAATCAAAGATGTGCTTCTAAGTCTTGTAAACGAAAAACCGCTTCTTGTAAGGACAAATGTGTCTCAGTTAATATTCCTACAAAATATCGTCAATCGCGAAATCAAAAGCGTAATCAGTAGGATAAACTTCTGTGTTCCTTGATCAAACTGTTAAATTCCTGTCATGTTCTATTATAAATTGACAAATACACTACTTCAACAGTGTATTTATTGCTTATTTAAAACTATATAACTATGTTCACCACCTCAACATTGATATGTTTTATGACAAGTGTGTCATAACGGCCGCAGCCGTCCGATTGAAATCCGAGCGTTAGCAATCCACGATCCGTGGATATCCATACATCCAAAATTTAAAAGGTTTGGCGACGAAGACATAACAAGTGGTCTAGACCAAACCAGCATTGGTTTGTCCTGTTTACAAAAAGTGGGATAAACGAGATATTTCGAATTATAGGCGTCTGGCAATGCTCTGCAATTTTGCAAAGGTTTTTGGAAATGTAGTAATTTACTCCAGTTTTTCAGGTCATATTTCACAAATTTGAGTAAAGTTTTAGGCGAAATTGACATTCCTCACACAAATGTAGTGATATCAGGGGACTTCAATGTCAAGTTTAACACCAAAGATCCTATGACAACTAGGCTTTGTGATTTTATGAATAGTTTCGGTCTTATACCTTTAGTAAATTTTCCAACCAGAAAGGCGAACTGTCTAGATAACGTGTTCACAAATATCGATCTTAAGTATTGTAATTGTAAACCACTGAATACTCTACTTTCTGATCACGGAAACGCAATATTACTAACTCTCTCTGTAAACTTAAGTAATCAGACAATCTATCACACGATAAAAATGTATAGGCCGATTACGGATCTCGGTAAATTCAGTCTATATCATTTACTTAATATAGTTGACTGGTCCTTTATTGGGAATAGCAATCAAGACATTAATGATAAATTTCTATGTTTTATAAATATGATATCTGATCATGTCAATAGGTCTTTTCCTACAAGACTGTTCAATGATAGCAATAGGCGAAATCGTGACAAATGGTTTACTGATAATTTGGCCCCAATGAAAAATATTTTACGAACACTTGTAAATATTGATAAAATTGTTAATAGTAGTGAGTCTAGGCAAATAAAGAATAACTATAGGAAATTGTACAGAGAAGAAATTAGGCTTAGTAGAATAAATTTCAATAAACAAACTATTGATTCCGCAAATAATAAAAGTAGAGCTCTATGGAATATTGTCAACAAGTATCGTGACAGCATTTCTAGTAAAAATATTGATATATTGAACTGTATTCGAACATGTGATGATTTTAATATCTATTTTACTAATGTTGCATCTAATTTAGTCAATAATCTATCTCCTTCTCGTGATGATCCAATAATGTTAATGAGTGAGAGTATGTCCATTCCTAAAAACTGTATGTCTAATTTTAGTTTTTGCTAGGTTTCCGGTGCAACTGTTAGAGATGTGATAAATTCTATAAAAAATAGTACATCTAACGATATATATGGTCTAAATTTTACGATCATAAAAAGCATCACAGACATTTTGATCTCCCCTTTAACTAAACTAATTAACATTTGTATTGTGCAATCAGTATTTCCTAGCTGTCTGAAGATTGCTAGAGTTGTTCCCATACATACATAAGGAAGGTGATATAAACGACACCTCCAACTATAGACCGATCTCTATTCTTCCACTATTTTCTAAGATCTTGGAAAAAATCTTATATAATCAATTAAGTAACTATCTCGAAATTAACCACTTGCTGTCACCTTCGCAGCATGGTTTCCGGTTACGGTTGGAGAGTGCTAGATTTTATCAGAGAGGTGGGTAATGTTTAGGAAGTGGCGAAATAACAGCAGTGTCCTTTCTTGATCTTACTAAGGCATTCGATTGTGTCCATCACCTGACGCTATTGAGAAAATTATACATGTACAATTTAAGTCCCTGTTGTTGCAGATTATTGTCATTTTTCATAGTGACAGATCTCAGTTAGTTTCCATAAATTGAAAACGGTCTGAGCAACTACCAGTTTTGCATGGGGTACCTCAAGGCTCTGTCCTTGGACCTCTTTTGTTCCTAATGTATATTAACGATCTGTCAATGTATATGAGGACTCACTGCAAGAGCATTCTATATGCAGATGACACGACTTTGATTTGGAGCGGAAGGGATCTGATTTCCAGACTATGGCACAATCAAAGACCGAAAGTTGATTCGTCGCTAACAGATTAACAGTAAATACATCAAAAACTGTAAGAATGTTATTCTCCTTAAAGAAAAGAATACACGTTCCCGATGACTTTGTAACCTCTAACAAATTTTTAGGTATAACTATTGACAATGCTTTGCGATGGGATGCTCAAGGTGATGTACCTACTGGCAAACCAACTATGTAAAATTACATTTCTCTTAAAAAATCTTAGGGACAAGGTTCCGCTGGAAACACTGTATACAGCATATTTTGCACTCTTCCAGCCCCACATAACCTATGGCTTATTAATGTGGGGACACTCTAGCATTTTTCACAGAATTTTTAAATTGCAACCGAGAACAGTAAGAATAATGGCTAATTTACCTTACAGGACTGACTGTAAAGACAACTTTACTAAAATGCAAATCATGACATTGCCATCGCTATATATATACATTTGTCTAATGTATGTTAAAGTTAATTTGAGTGATTACATATGTCATAATCATATTCATAATTATAATACACGATACAGTTAACACTTATGTTTAAAGAAAACTAGACTGACAAAGTCTCGTAATGGAGTTGAATACCTAGGCATTAACTTCTATAATGCTTTACCTCAGAACATTCGAGAGTTAAATGGACAAAATTTTAAATCTGTCATTAAAGAAGATTTAACAGGGTTCGCGTTATATTCATGGGATGACTACTTCTATATAAGTCAAAATTTTAAGCCTACTTAGAGTGGTTGTATGTAAATGTCATATTTTTTAGAATCTTATGTGCTTTGTTTTTATATTTTATATTTGTGTCTGTATTTTCTAAATGTAATATTTTGACGACCCAATGTACTTATATTGTATGCTAAAGGGTAGAATAAAATTATTATTATTATTATTAATAATATTATAAGTTAAGATATATA